ACCATTCGACCAAAATTCCTTTTGTAACATTTACCATGACTTTTTCTTAGAAAAGAAAAAGAAAGACAAAATTTCGTTACACATTAGATTCGATGCTGTCTTAATGCACGCATTGCATAGCCATAGAATTTACTTATGTCATACAACTAGATAAGAAAACCAATAAAGATTAGTTAGAGTATTACATACTCTATGGTTGGAGTTTAGTACGTATTACTTATTGATAATGGCGCTAGCAACTACTCTGTTGTATCTATGGTAAAAAGTGCTCTCTACCTTATACTTCATCTATGGTTAAATGAAGAAATGTACATATTTTTTATACAAACTTTCATAAACATGTTAATATATGAAGCAAAATATAATTAAAAATAAATTATAAGTAGAAACGATAATTTATTTGTTACAATAAATCATGATTTTATATTATTTTATTTATTAAATAGAATAATTTATTTTCATAAACATGTCATTATCATGTATATTATAAATGACATGAAGAGATCTGGTTTTCAACTAATGTAGATTATTTGAAAATCGTTTTACCAATCAGAAGGAATTCTCTATTGCACTTGAACGTCATCTGGCGTTGCATTTTCTACTGTTTTATGAATCGTTGCGTCAGCCATTCAAGTACTCTGAAATCTATCTCAGAGGAAGTCAGTGACTATATGTACATCGATCGAACCATCTATCCATCTACTGTTGAACTGCAGACGTCTTCGATACTACTTTGCACGCGCGAGTTCTATTGAACTAACGTAAGTTCGATTTTCTGTTTTATCAAAGCGTTTATCAATTAATGTAATCTTTAATTTAATTAAAGTGGTGTTTTTCTTCATTGAAATTGTAACCAAAGTACACGTACATTTAAATCGAACAGTTATAAATCTTAATGTGCATGGCGTTTCCACACGTGCAAATGAGTCATAATTCTTATAAACCCATGAATAGTTAAATTATTTAATTTCTTATATTTGAACTGAACATATAAATTACTTTAGTCTTGAGTGGAATATCACAAGTTACGTAATAGAACTATCCTTGAGTTGTGTCTCTATTATTACTCTTTCGTTAATAAGAACATTTCAGTTTTTAACAGAGTAGAATTTTTAATTGATTGAAGTTCCAATTATCTTTACGTGACTGAAAATTTGCTATAGTTAATTACGATAAAATCTATATATGTATATTAATTACTTTTCTTATTTCCTTCAAAAAACGGAAAATCCTTTGTTTTATATTTGTTAATACTGATTACAAAATATTGCATAATATTGTGAATTTATTAATATAATTAGTTTAAATCATATTAAGTATCAACCAAATAGTATCTATAACAGTAGCATTGTTATTCGTTATATAAAAACGCTAATACTATCCACATTGCAATGAAATATGTTTTTTATGAGAAATAAATAAATTTTGTACTATATTTCGTACTTATTAGAC